CCACTCCCCCCCCCCCCTCACCTTTCCCAAACTCCCCATCCCCCTCCTCCCCTCCCCCTTACACCCACCTCCCCTCCTCCCATTCCACTCTACAACCATTCCACTCCCCCTTCTTCCTCTCCCCCACTCCTTCCCCCCCACCCTACTCTATTCAATCCCCATCTTCCCCCATCTCCCCTCTCCGCTTCCCATCCACCTATTCACTCCCCACATCCCTCAACGCCCACCCTACCCTTACACAGTACCTCTCACCATATACACACTTTCCATTCCACTCCACTCTCCTCACCAAACTTGCCCCCCACCCCTTCCGCCAACGTCCCCCCCACCCCGTCCCTCTCTTCCCCCCACTTCTCATCTCCCCCATTTCTTCTCCACAACTTTCCCTTCTTAAAACTCCACCCCCCCCCTTCACCTCTCGTTCCCACCACTACACCTACATCCTCAGTCAAAACAACATTATCCAACACCCACCTCCAAACCATCGTAACCTACATCCACAACAAACAAATCCTCAACCCCACACCTCCTCCAGTTCCCCCTATCCTTGAAATTCACACAAGTAACTAAATCCACCCCAAACCAAATACTACTCTCCCTCGTGACTCCAATACGCATCCCTCTCCCTCATCTATCTACAATCCTCAACTCTCTGTCACCCACAAAGTATAATACCTTACACAAATCAAATATACTAAAAAACTACACTGACTAAACCAACACTAAGTCGTACAAATTTACACCCTTAACCTTACTCCCCTTCCAACATACAAATCTATGAATCTTTAATAAACAAAGAAAAGTAACAGTGCATACCCCCTAAGACACAAGTCACACACCGCTAACCTCCGTACAAACTCCTCACCCCCCACGCCTTCCCTCACATATTAATGTTACTCCCCATCAAATGTACCAACCCTCCAAACTGTCCACCCTCTCCCTTCCACTCCTCTACTCTCGACTCCTTCCTCCCCTCCTCCACACCTCTTACCCACCCTCCAACACCCCCAATCCTCCTCTCAACCCCTCACTCAACCACCTACTTTCAATCCAACACCATATACTTACACCCACTCCTCAATCAACAAATCCCGTACAAAAACTCCCCCCAAAACCTTCTCCCACTCTCTATCTCAAACCTCCACCCAAACCAACCCAAAAGCAATACAACAAACCTCCCAACCACCCCAAACCCCCCCATCCTCACTCCTCAACTTATCTCCACCCAACTTATTCACTCCCCCCCTCCCCTCCCCCTCCCCCATCATTTTACTCACTATCAATGACTTACTAGTACAAAAAATCATCCTTATCACATTATAACTCAATTAATACCCCCATCCCCAACACCCCTCCTCCCCCCCTCCCTCCCTCACCCACATCTCATACATCAAACACCCTCCTCCCCAACCAACCCCTTTCATTCCCTAAAATTTCCTCCCCTCAGACCTCTCACCCCCCTCTCCATATCCCACCCCCATCCGGTGTCCCTTCATCTACACTCACTCCTCATCCACTCACCCACATTTCAACTCCACTCACAACAGTTTCTCCCCAACGCTACAACACTTACACATCCCTACTTACCTCAACCCTCCTTCTACATACACCCACTATCACCTCATAAAACCACACTCCCCACCCATGTCATTACATCTAACCATCGATCATCAAACCCCCCCCCTTCCCTCCCTTCTGCCCCCCTACTCCCTCACCCCCCCTCACACAACACTCCACCTCTAAACTATCTCATCCCCTCTGTTCACAACATACAATCACTTCACTCCCCTCAGTATACCAATTCATCTTCACTCCCCCACCCCACCCATCCTCCTACTTTTTACTCTCCCTGTACCCCTCCCACGCAAGAAAACAACCACAAAACATCACCCCTCCAACACAGCCTCTCACACCCAACGGCACTTCCCCCCCTTCTACCTCTCATCCCATACTCCTCACACCAATACCTACTACTCCCTCACCACCAAACCCTCTGCTCCCTCACTTCCTCCCCCCTGTCAAAACCCCTAGAACCTTCCCTGTCCTCATCACAATCCCCTCCTCCCCCCCCCCCCCTCCCCCACCCCATGAAATCCTTCCTCAACTATCCCACCTCACCACCAAAACACATCCCCCTCCCTCAATCGGATTCCCGTCCTCTACCTTCTCTCCACCATCCCTCCTCCCTCTCCTCATCTACTACACTCACAACATTGAACTCCAGCCTCCCCTCTCACCCCCCCTCCCCCTCCCCACCCTATAATACAACAACCAATCTATCCCATCCTATCCCCAACCCACCCCCCACCAACCACCCCCCTCACATTCCACCCCCCAACCATACCACCCACCCCAACCCCCTATATACATCCATATCCATCAATACCACTACCCCCGCCTTACCACTGCCCCCCCCATCACCTCAGCCCGTCACCTAAACTCTTCCAATCCCAACCCCCAGTATATAACATCCAATTACCTTCTAGCTCCTCCCCCCCACTCATAATCTCCTTACCACTCCTCCCCTCACCTCCCACTACCCCACCCTCCCCCCTAACATTCTCACCATACCCTACTCCCCTTCACCACTTCCTACACCGCTACTTCCCACTCCCCCCACCCCCCCTCAACCCACCGCTCCCACCCCTGGTACTTACTCACCTTCGCACTTAACCTTCCCTCCTCACAACTTCTATCCACCTCCTAAAATACTCCCAACCCTACCCCTCACAAGTATATCCCCCCCATCCATCCGCTAAACCTAACCCTAAATCCACGGAATCCGTAATCACAAGTCATATACCACCTTTAACTCACCTCGGCTTCCTTCCCCTCACCACACAGTTACCACTGAATCTGCAACTCTCCTACCCACACCCACCCACTCCCTATTCACGCAAAACTCAATAACTATAATTCTTCAACACCCTAACCCTACCCAAATCTCCACCCTACTCCCAACAACAACCCCTCTTTCCCACTCCCTCTCAATTCCCCTGTACACAACAATACAACCACAACACAAAAAAAAGATATACCACTTCTGCCATAGAACAAATAAATGACATCAATAGTAACAAACTACCAACACTCACTAATTCCTTCACAAACATCTGACTAATATCATCTCAACCCCTCTCTCCCCATCTCCTCTCCCCCCCCCCTCAACCACTATTCCCCCCTCCCCCCAACCTTTCCCCCTCCCACTAAACCAAGCCTAATTCCTCCCCACCTTCTCCCCCTCCCCCAAACCACACACCTCCCCCCCCCTCTTCTACCCCTCAACCTTCCCCTCCCGCCCAACACACCCCCCTACCATATATAAAATCATCACGATTTCCCAATCATCCATTACATACCACTCACTCCACCCAGACTAAAAGTATAACATTAACAACTTCCATCCCCTCCGCCTACGCCCCCAACTAGTAACAATGTGTCCCACTCACTATCCACAACAACTCAAAACACACATATCCACACTTTATCAACTACTTATGAGACCCCTCCCTTCTCCTCCTCACACCTCTCTTTCACCCCCCCCCTCCTTCCCTTCTCTCCCCCTTCCCCTTCCTCCTTCCCTCCCCCCTCCCTCCTCCCTTCCCCCCCCTCCCTCCCCCCCTTCCCTCTCCTCCTCCCTCCCTCTCCTCCCCTCTCCCCCCCCCTTCCCCTCCTTCCCTCTTCTCCCCCCCTCCTCCTCCCCCCCTCCCCTTCCCCTCCCCCCTCCTCCCCTCCCTCTCCTCCTCCTCTCCCCTCCCCCCCTCCTCTCCCCCTCCCCTCCCCTCCCTCCTCCCCCCTCCCCCTTCTCCCCCCCCTTCCCCCTCCTCCCCCTCCTCTCCTCCTCCCTCCCCCTTCCCTCTCCCCCCCCTCCTCCCCCTTCCCTCCCCCCTCCCTCCTCCCCCCCCTCCTTCCCTCCTCCTCCTCCCCCCTTCCTCCCCCTCCCCCCCCCCTCCCTCCCCTCTCCCCTCCTCCTTCCCCCCTCTCCCCTCTCCTCCTCCCCCTCCCCCTCCCTCCCCCTCCTCTCCTCCCTCCCCCCCTCCTCCCTCCCCTCCTCCTCCCCTCCTCCCCCCCCCTCTCCCTCCTCCCCTCCTCTCTCCCCCCTCCCCCCTCCTCCCCCCCTCTCCCTTCTCCTCCCTCCCCCCCTCCTCCCTCCCTCTCCCCTCCTCCCCTCCCCTCTCCCCTCCCCCTCCCCCCCTCCTCCCTTCTTCCCCCTCCCCCTCCTCTCCTCCCTCCCCTCCCTCCTCCCCTCTCCCTCCCCTCTCCCCCCCTTCTCTCCCTCCTCTCCCCCTCCCCTCCCCTCCCCCCTCTCCCTCCTCCCCCTCCTCCCCCCCTCCCCTCTCTCCCTCTCCCTCCCTCCTCTCCCTCTCTCCCCTCCCCTCTCCTCCCCCCCTCCCCCCCTTCCTCCCCTCCTCTCCCTCCTCTCCCCCTCTCTCCCCCTCCCCCCCTCTTCCTCCTCCCCTCCCTCTCTCCCCCCTCCTCCCCTCCTCCCCCTCCTCCCCCCCCTCCTTCCTCCTCCTCCCTCCCCTCTCCTCCTCCCCTCCCTCCTCTCCCCTCTCTCCCCCTCTCCCTTCCCCCTCCCCTCCTCTCCCCCCCTTCCCTCCCCTCCCTCCCCCTCCTCCCCTCCCTCCTCCTCCCCCTCCCCTCCCTCTCCCCCCTCTCCTCCCTCCTCCCCCTCTCCCCCCCTCCTCCCTCCCCCCCCTCCTCTCCCCCTCCTCTCCCCCTCCCCCTCCCTTCCCCCTCCCCCCCCCTTCTCCTCCTCCCCTCCCTCCCCTCCCCCCCCCCTCCTCCTCCCTCTCCTCCCCTCCCCCCTCTTCCTCCTTCCCTCCCCTCCTCCCCCTCCCCTCTTCTCTCCCTCCCCCTCCCCCCTCCCCTCCCCTCTTCCCCTCCCCTCCCCTTCTCCCCCCCCTCCCTCTCCCTCTCCCCCCTCCCCTCCTCCCCCCCCCCTCCTCCCTCCCCTCCTTTCTCCTCTCCCCCCCTCCTCCTCCTCCCTCTTCCCTCCCTCCCCCCCCTCCCCTCCTCCCCCTCCCCCCCCTCCTCCCTCCCCTCCTTCCCCTCCCCCTCCCTCTCCTCCTCTCCTCTCCCCTCCTCCTCTCCCCCCTCCCCCTCCCTCCTTCCCCCCCTCTTCCCCCCCTCCCCCTCCCCCTCCCCCTCTCTCCCCCCCTCCTCCCCCCCTTCCCTCCTCCCTCCCCCTCCCTCTTCCCTCCCCCTCCCCCCTCTCTCCCCTCCCTCCCCCCTCTCCCTCCCCCCTCCTCCCCCCCCCCTTCCTCTCCCCCCCTCCCCTCCCCCCCTCTCCCCTCTCCCCCCCCTTCCCCCTCCTCCCCCCCCTCCCTCTTCCTCCTCCTCCCTCTCCCTCCCCTCCCCCTCTCCCCTCCCTCCCTCCCCCTCCTCTCCCTCCCCCTCCTCTTCCCTCTCCCCCCCTCCCTCTCCCTCCCTCCCCTCCCCCCCCTCTCTTCCTCCCCCTCCTCCCCTCCCCCCCCTCCTCCCCTCCCCCTCTCCCCCCCCCTCCTCTTCCCCTCCCCCCCCTCCTCCCTCCTCCCCCCTCCCCCTCCCCCCCTCCCCTCTTCTCCCCTCTCCCTTCTCCCTCTCCCTCCCCTCCTCCCCCTCTCCTCCTCCCTTCCCCTCCCCCTCCTCTCCCCCCCTCTCCCTTCCTCCCCCCTCTCTCCCCCTCCTCCCTCCCCTCTTCTCCTCCCCCCTCCTCTCCCCCCTCCCTCTCTCCCCTCTCCCCCTCCCCTCCCCTCCTCCCCCCCTCTCCCTCCTCCCCCCCCTTCCTCTCCCTCTCCTCCCCCTCCTCCCTCCCCTCCTCCCCCTCCCTCCCCCTCCCCCCCTTCCTCCCCCTCCCCTTCCCTCCCTCCCTCTCCCCCTCCTCCCCCCCCCCTCCCCCTCCCCTCCTCCCCCTTCCCCCCCTCCTCCCCTCCCTCCCCTCCTCCCCCCCCCTCCCTCCCCCTCCCTCCCCCTCCCTCTTCCCCTCCCTCCCCCCCTCCCCCCTCTCCCCCTCTCCCCTCCCCCTTCTCCTCCCCCCTCTTCCCCTCCCCCCCTCCCTCCCTCTCTCCCTCCTCTCCCCTCCCCCTTCCCCCCCTCTCCCTCCCCCCTCCCCCCCCTCCTCTCCCCCCTCCCCCCCCCCTCCTCCTCCCCCCCCTCTCCCTTCCCCTCCTCCTCCCCCCCCCCTCCCCCCCCCTCCCTCCTCCCCCCCCTCTCCCTCCCTCCTTCCCCTCTCCTTCTCCTCCCCCTCTCTCCCCCCCTCCTCCCTCTTCTCCCCTCCCCCTCCTTCTCCTCCCCCTTCCCTCCCCTCTCCTCCCCCCCTCTCCCCCTCTCCCCCTCTCCCCCCCCCCTCTCCTCCTCTCCCCCCCTCCCTCTTCTCCCCCCTCTCCCCCTCTCCCCCTCCCCTCTCCCCCCCCTCCTCTTCCCCCTCTCTCTCCCCCCCCCTTCTCCTCCCCCTCCTCCCCTTCCCCCCCTCTCCCCCCTCCCCCCCTCTTCTCCCCCCTCCCTCCCTCCCCTCTCTTCCCTCCCCCTCCCCCTCCCTCTCCCCCCTCTCCCTCCCTCCCCCTCTCCCCCCTCCTCTCTCCCTCCCCTCCCCTCCTCCTCCCCTCCTCCCTCCCTCTTCTCCCCCCCTCTCCCCCTCCCCTCCCCCTCCCTCCCCCCCTCCTCTCCCTTCCTCCCCTCCCCCCCCTCCTCCCCCTCCTCCCTCCCCCTCTCCCTCTCCCCCCCCTCTCTCCCCTTCCTCCCTCCCTCTCCCCCCTCCTCTCCTCTCCCCCTCCCTCCCCCCCTCCCTCCTCCCTCCTCTCCCTTCCCCCCCCCTCCCCCTTCCTCCTCTCCCCCTCCTTCCTCCCTTCTCCCTCCTTCCCCTCCCTCTCCTCCCCCCTCCTCCCCTCCTCTCTCCCCTCCTCTCCCCTCTCTCCCCCTCCCTCTCTTCCCCCCTTCCTCCCCTCCTCCCTCTCCTCCCCTCTCCCTCTTCCCCTCCTCCCCCTCTCCTCCCCCCTCCCCCCTCTCTCCCCCCCCCCTCCCCTCTCCCCTCCTCTCCTCCTCCTCCCCCCTCTTCCCCTCCTCCCCCCTCTCTCTCCCCCCCTCCCCCCTCTCCCTTCTCTCCCCCTCCCCCCCCTCTCCCCTCCCCCTTCTCCTCCCTCCTTTCCTCCCCCTCCTTCTCTTTCCCCCCCTCTCCCTCCCCCCTCTCCCCTCCCCTCCCCTCCCCTTTCCCTCTCCCCCCCTCCCCCTCCCCCCTCCCCCCTCCTCCCCCTCTCCCCCCTCCCTCCCTCCCCTCCCCTCTCTCCCCCTCTCCCTCCCCTCCCCTTCTCCCCCCCTCTTCCCCCCCTCCCCTCCCCTCCCTCCCTCTCCCCCCCTCCCCCTCTCCCCTCCCCTCCCTCCCCCTCCCCCTTCCCCCCCTTCCCCTCTTCCTCCCTCCTCCTCCCCCCCCTCTCCCCCTCCTCCCCCCCTCCCTCTCCCTCCCCCCTCCCTCTCCCTCCTCTTCCTCCCCCCTCTCCCTCCCCTCCCTCCCCCTCTCCCCTCCCCCCTCCTCTCCCCTCTCCCCCCCTCTCCCTCCCTTCTCTTCCTCCTCTCCCCTCCCCCCCTCTCTCCCCCTCCCCCCCCTCCTCTCCCTCTCCTTCCCCCCCCTCTCCTTCCCCCTCCCCCCCTTCTCCCCCCTCCCTCCCCTCCCCTCCCCCCCCTCCCCTCCCCTTCCCCCCTCTCCCCCTCCTCTCCTCCCCCCCCCTTCCTCCCCCTCCCTCTCCCCCTCCCCCCCCTCCTCTCCCTCCCCTCCTTTCCCCCCCTCCCCCTCCCCCCCCCCTCCTCTTCCCCTTCTCTCCCCTCTCCTCCCCCCCTCCTCCCTCCTCCCCTCTTCTCCCCTTCCCTCTCTCCCCCTCCCTTCCTCCTCTCCCCCCTTCTCCCCCCTCCCCTTCTTCTCTCTTCCCTCCCCTCCCCTCCCCCTCTCCTCCCTCCCCTTCTCCCCCCTTCTTCCTCCTTCCCCCTCCTTTCTCCCTTCCCTCTCTTCTCCCTTCTTTCTTTTTTCTTCCTCCTTTTCCCCCTTCTCTCCCCTTTTTTCTCTCTTCCCCTCCCTTCCCCTCTTCTCTTCTTCCTTCTTCCCTCTCCCCCCTCTCTCCCTCTCTTTCCTTCTTTTCCTTTTTCTCCTTTCCCCTCTCTTTCTCCTTTTTTCTTCTTTCTCCCTCCCCTCTCCCTTTCCTCTCCCTCCCCTCTCTTCCCTTCTCCCTCTCCCCCCCTTCCTTTCCTCTTTCTCTTCTTCTCTCCCTTTTTCCTCCCTTTCTTCCTTTCCCTCTCCCCCTCCCCCTTCCTTTCTCTTTTTTCTTCTCTTTTCTTTTTTCTTTCTCTTTTTTCTTTTTTCTTCTTTTCTTTTTCTTTTTTTCTTTTCTTTTCTTTTTTCTTTTCTTTTTCTTTTCTTCTTTCTTTTTTCTTCTTTTTCTTTCTCTTTTCTTTTTCTTTTCTTTCTTCTTTCCTTTTTTCTTTTCTTTTTTCTTTTTTTTCTTCTTTTTTCTTTCTTCTTTTTTTCTTTTCTTTTTCTCTTTTTTCTTTTCTTTCTCTTCTTTTCTTCTTTCTTTCTTTTCTTCTTTCTTTTTCTTTTCTTTTCTTTTTTTCTTCTTTTTCTTTTTCTCTTTTCTTTCTTCTTTTTTTCTTTCTTTTCTCTTCTTTTCTTTTTCTTCTTTCTTTTCTTTCTTTTTCTTTCTTTTTTTTTCTTCTTTCTTTCTCTTTTTCTTTTTTTCTTCTTTTTTCTTCTTTCTCTTTTCTTTTTTTCTTTCTTTTCTTTCTTCTTTTTCCTTTTCTTTTTCTTTTCTTTTTCTTTTCTTCTTTTTCTTTTCTTCTTTTTTTTCTTTTCTTTTTTTCTTTTTTTCTTTTCTTTTTCTTCTTTTCTCTTTCTTTTTCTTTTTCTTCTTTTTTCTCTTTTCTTTTTCTTCTTTTCTTTTTTCTTTTTCTTTTCCCTTTCTTTTTCTTCTTTCTTTCTTTTCTTTCTTTTCTTCTTTCTTTTTCTTTTTTTTTCTTTCTCTTTTCTTTTTCTTTCTTCTTTTCTTTTTCTTTCTTTTTTTCTCTTCTTTTTCTTTCTTTTTTTCTTTCTCTTTTTCTTTCTTTCTTTTTTTTCTTTTCTTTTTTCTTCTTTCTTCTTTCTTTTTTCTTCTTTCTTTTTCTTTTTTCTCTTTCTTTTTTCTTTTCTTTCTTTCTTTTTCTTTCTTTTTTCTTTTTTCTTTTTCTTCTTTTTCTTCTTTCTTTCTTCTTCTTTCTCCTTTTCTTTCTTCTTCTTTTTTCTTTTCTTCTTTTCTTCTTCTCTTTCTTCTTTTTCTTTTTCTTTTCTTCTTTTTTCTTTTCTTTTTCTTTCTTTTCCTTCTTTCTTTCTTCTTTTCTTTCTTTTTCTTCTTTTTTTCTCTTTTTTCTTTCTTTTTCTCTTTTTCTTTCTTTTCTCTTCTTTTTCTTTCTCTTTCTTTTTCTCTTTCTTTTTCTTCTTTTTTCTTTTTTCTTCTCTTTTTCTTTTTTTCTTTTTCTTTCTTTTTCCTTCTTCTTTTCTTTCTTTTTTTTCTTTTTCTCTTTCTTCTTTCTTTTTCTTTTTTTTTCTTTCTTTTTCTCTTCTTTTCTTCTCCTTTCTTTTTCTTTTCTTTCCTTTCTTTTCTTTTCTTTCTCTTTTTTCTTCTTTTCTTTTCTTTTTCTTCTTTTTCTTTTTTCTTTTCTCCTTTTTTTTTTTTCCTTTCCCTCTCTCTCTCCCCTCTCTCCACCCCTCTTCTCTTTCTTCTTCTCCTTTTTTTTTTTTCCTCCCCTCTTTTCCTTCTTTTCTTTACTTTCTTCTCTTCCTCTCTTCTTCTCCTTTTTCTTCTTTTCTTCCTCTCTTCTCTTTCTCTTCTCTTTCCCTCTTTCCTTCTTTTTCCTCTTCTCTTCCTTCTCCTCTTTTCCTTCCTCTCCCCCTTCTCTTTTCTTCTCCTTTCCTTCTCCTTTCTTTCTTTTTTTTTTTTTTCTCTCTTTCCTCTTTCTCTTTCCCCTCCCTCTTCCTTTTTTCCTTTCTTTTTTTTTTTTCCTCTCCTTCCTCTTTCCCTTCTCTTTTCCCTTCTTCCTTTCTTTTTCCTTCTTTTTCTCTTTTTTTTCTCCTTCTTCCCTCCCTTCCTCTTTCTTTTCTTTCTCTCCTTTTTTTTTTCTCCCTTCCTCTTTCAAACCTAGCAGAAGACAGGAAATAACTAAGATCAGAGCAGAACTGAAGGAAATAGAGACACAAAAAACTCTTCAAAAAATCAATAAATCCAGGAGCTGGTTTTTTGAAAAGGTCAACAAAATAGACAGACCACTAGCCAGATTAATAAAAAAGAAAAGAGAGAATAACCAAATTGATGCAATAAAAAACGATAAAGGGGATATCACCACAGATTCCACAGAAATCCAAACCATCATCAGAGATTATTACAAACAACTCTATGCACATAAACTAGTAAACCTGGAAGAAATGGATAAATTCCTGGACACCTGCAACCTCCCAAGCCTAAACCTGGAAGAAGCCGAAACCCTGAATAGACCAATAACATGGTCTGAAGTCGAGGCAGCAATAAAGAGCCTACCACCCAAAAAAAGCCCAGGTCCA